GTGTGTGTGTATGTGTGTGTGTGTGTGTGTGTGTGTGTTGGCCCCGCCCCGGAAAGGAGAAGGGGGGTCCCAGCGCTCGGGGAGACAGTTTGGCCTCTGAGCCCGCTCCGGGAGCCCTTCCTGGGGCCGAGTCCCGCGCCGGGGCTGGGGTGGGCTCCTGGCCCTCTGTGGGGCTGCTGAGCATCTCCCATCACAGGCTCCCCCTGGGCCCGTGGAGGGCAAGGAGGGAGGTGTGCGTGGGGTAGGGTGGGCACAGTTTGGGCACTACCATGGCTGTGACTCCTTGTAAGACAAGTCTCTCCTGGGACAGGCAGATATTTCTGTGAGCCAGCTGATGCCCACCATTAGGGCCCAGAGTGAACACCAGGGGTGGTGTCAGGGAGGTGTGTGATGCTGGCCTGGCCAGGCAGGGCACCAGGCAGTGGGGTTTGGCTGCCAGCGCTGAGTTCACTGGTGGTGAAGGCAGAACAAAGGGCTGTTTGTGCCACATTTAGCTCCTGGTGAATGATGCCAGGGCTGAGCTCTGTCCGTCCCGACACACATGGTGGCCCAGACACGGGCGCAGCCCCAGTGATGTCCTGCACTGGGGCGGGGGGTGGGAACACGTCACGGCTGACTCAACCCCATGGCCGTGGCAGGCAGGATGGGGTGGGCACGTGGCAGAGGACTGGGGTGAAGGTGCAGCCTGCCCTGCCTGCCCACTCTCCTGGAGCTGCCTGGTGGTGGGCAGCAGTGTGACAGGGGTTAATCCCAGGTGCTCCAGCGAGTGCATTGGTGGGACTGGGAGCCCTTGCAGGCAGCTGGGGCTGGTGCCAGGAAGGCAGCCCCATGGTCGACTCCTGGTTGGGAGGGCAGCCTGCACAGCCTGCACATTGGGCTGTGCCCAGCCTGGGCATGGCATTGCAATCCCCAGGGCCCTAAAAAAATGGGAGAGCTGTGGGGCGCAGGGCACAGCTGTGCCAGGCTGGGCAGGAGGTCTGACTGCTTTGCCTGGTCCCCAGGGTGCCATACTGCCTGTGGACAGTGGGATGCTCTCTGAGCCCTGCCTGGCACCAGGGCTGGGAAGGGGTGCTCGGGGGCACGTGTGTGGTGGCGGTGAGTGCCCCCTGGCACTGGGGCCTGGCTGCTGCCCAGGCTGGGCTGTGGAGATGGCACTACGGGCACTGTGGGCAGAGCTTGTTACTCTTCTGAGCCAGGAGCAACAGGGCAGGGTGGGCACAGAAGCCCCGGCATGGGGCCAGGCCAGCTCTGCCCATCACCCTGTGGGCAGCTGTAGGGTCCAGCCAGGTCAGGCTCCGTATCCACACTGGGCCTAGGGGCACAGGTCACCCTAGGTCCTGCCCCACGTGCCTGCATGCCCTGTGCAACTGCCACCATGCAGCCCAGCAGCTGGGCTCGCTTGCCAGTGTGAGGGGCTGGGCATGGCAATTCCCGGCCATTGGGAGCAACGGGATGGGCAGAGATCAGTGCCAGCACCGGGCACTCTGCATGCCCAGCTGGGCACGGCTCATCCCAGGTCTGCCCACGCTGCACCTACCTGCTGGGGCAGAGGGGATGGTCTGGGACCCCTCCATGCTGGCAGCACCGTGGCCCTGTGTCCTCCAAGCTGTGGTGTTATGGAGTGACAGACTCATTTTGGCTGTGGGTGCCAAGGTGGGGTAGGCGAGTGCCAGGGCTGGGCACAGATCGATGCTTCCCCTGCTGTTGGCTTCCTTGGTCACAGACAGTGTGATGGCATCCTTGGGGCATCGAAATAACCGTGGGTGCCCGGGCACAGCTGATGGGCTGGGAGCAGTGGCAGGGGGCTGGCATCCGTGCTGGACAAAGAGCCCTTGTGCTGCCCGCGCCTGCGGGGGAATCTGCTGGGACGGGACATTTTTCTTCTCCCCCCCCCTTCCCGATGCCCTTTCCTTGCTCAGAAATTCATGTGACCAGGGCAGGGGGGTAGCTCAGTGCTGCAGATCCCTCCGCAGTGCCTGGGGCATAGGCACCCCCTCTCTGAAGCCTCCTTTTTTCTCCTGGCACCCGGTGGCAGCAGCACACCCCCCGGTGTGTTCTGGGGGGCTGTACCCCCCCTGACACCCCTCTTTATTGACCAGGTGGAGGACGGGGGCAAGGCTGCGCTGTCACGCCGGCTGCAGCCGGGTGATGAGCTGGTGAACATCAGCGGGACGCCGCTGTACGGGTCCCGCCAGGAGGCTCTGATCCTCATCAAGGGCTCCTACCGCACCCTGAAGATGATCGTCCGCAGGTTGGCAGCGCTGGGGGGGAAGGGGGGCAGGAGGGGCAGTGGCATCAAGGCTGGGGAGGCATCACCTGCCTGGGGGACTGGTGGGAGCCTGGCACAGGAGCCTGGCAGCGCCCCTGTCTCCACCCTGGAGGTGCCCCCTGCTGGGACGGGGTGGGGGGCAGCCCCACCATGGCTGTCAGCACCCCATGGTGGGGGTGAGGGTTCCCCAGCCCCGTGTGCCACTAGCAGAGCCAGGGTGGTGCAGCTGGCTCGCCACCCTCTTGTTGGGCGGTATCCTGGAGCGTGGCCGCTCCTCTCCCTTCCTGCCTGCTGCCTGCCTGGGAAAGGAAGGAGAGGCAGGGCTGGGCCCTGAAGTCCCGTCCCCCCCCTCCCCCCGTCCCCCTCCAACCCGCATCCACTCCCTGGCTGCATCCCGACCAGGCTCCAGCTCCAGCGGCACTGAGGGGCTGGGACGGTGCAGGGCACTGCCCACGGGGCAGGGGGTGCCACGGGGCTGTACTGGGGTTCAGCATCATCCATGGTGAGTTTGGGGGCACTGGGCAGGGAGGGACCCCTGTGCTGACCACACAGCTTGTCCCTGCCCACCTGGCGGATGCTGGGGCAGCACTGGACACTTGGGGGTTACAGGAGGTGGCATCTGCCCACATGTCTGTGTGGTGGCACTGGAATAATTGTCTGTGTGCACTGGGGGGACTGGAGACCCCCCAAGACTGCCCAGCACAGGGGGTGGGACAGGGCCTGACACAGGACCCCTCCCTGGGGACATGATGTGGCTGGCACTTGCTACTGATGTTGAGGGAACGAGGAACAAGGGGGGAAGGTCAGGCTTGTGGTGGGGACACGGATGTGGCTCCAGGGTCCCCTTGGTGTGCCTGTGGAGCTGGTCCAGTCCCAGCAGGGACCCTTGCCCTGCTGGCGCATTGCCTGTGGACTGTGCTGGAGCCACATCCTCAGTCCCCTGTTGATGCTGGCAGCAGGGATGCTGCAGTCAGGGGAGCCCTGGCAGTAGGGGGGACCTGTGGGATCCCCCTGCCCAGTGCTGGCAGGGTTGGACCCCCCTCGCTGCTGTCCCCCCTCGGGCGGGCGCTGGCCTGGAGGGGGGACAGGAAGCCCCGTAGGAAGTGACTTCAGCCCCGGTTCCTCAGGCTGGCTTCCTCCCCATTCTTGTCCTCTCCCGCTGTTGCTCTTGGCAGGAGGAGCGTGCCCGTCCTCCGGCCCCATTCCTGGCACGTGGCCAAGCTTGCCGAAAGCCGCCCCGACGCCCCCGCCATGCACTACCCTGCTGACGCCTTCAGCCTCTCCTGGCCCTCGGGGTGTGATGTCAGGTGAGACCCCTGACCCACCCCCGGGGGAGCCCATGAGATCACACAAGGGGAGGGGGTGGACGGGGAACCCGTTTGGGTCGGGGCAGGGGGAGTGTGGGGTGGGTGCTCACTTCCTTGCCCCACGCTACCGTTGGGCATCCCCCCGCATCCTGCCGCCACGCTGCCCTTTCCCCTGCCTGTTTACTCTCCAGCTCCCAACAGGAAGGGGCGGTGGCTCCGTCGGAGCCGGCCAGGAGCTGCCGAGTCCCAGTACCCCCCCTGCCAGAGCAGGCAGGTCCCGAGTGGCTGGAGCCACGCATGCCCTCTGTCCCTGTGCCCTCTCCCTCTGCCAGTGCTGGGGCAGCCTTGGTGCTGCCCCCTAACCCAGGCAGGTTGGGGCTGTGCCAGCCTGTGCCCCCTGTCCCAGGGAGGGGGTGTATGTGGTGGTGGGGTGTTGGCTCCCCGGGATATCGTGCTCATCGAAGGGTCTGGTGGGGAGTTGAGTGGGGGACGGCAGGTGCCCCTAACGCCGGCGTGGGGCCGGGCGGCAGCGAGCTGTCCCTGCAGTGGAACCCGCTGTCCCGGCACTGCAGCACCGACCGGAGCAGCTCCATCGGGAGCATGGAGAGCCTGGACCAGCCCGGCCAGGCCTACTATGAAGGGGACCCCTCACCCGTTGACCAGGGCATGTACCACAGCAAGCGGGACTCGGCCTACAGCTCCTTCTCTGCCAGCTCCATCGCCTCTGACTGTGCCATCTCCCTCCGCCCCGAGGAAGCAGCTTCTGTTGACTCCAGCCTCCAAGGCCCCTGCAAGCCCCCCGACGGGCGCTACCTGACCACCGGGGCTGAGCCACCCGCCAGCCGGCACACCGAGGCCTGGCGGGTGCCTGTGCCCCCCCAGCCCCCTGTCAGGAGGGACAGCCTGCGGGCAGCCCCGGCTGGCACAGGGGACAGGCGCCGGGTGTCGGTGTCGGCAGACATGCTGCACGCCAAGGGCCGGTGGATCTCTGACACCTTCCTCTGCCAGCGAGACGGGGAGGCAGAGTCTGCGGGCAGGAGGACGCCGTACACCATGAAGGACCGTCTCTCCTCTGACCAGTATTACATGCTGAGCTCCCATCCGGACCGGTGCCCGGCTGAGCCGCTCCTGGGGGAGAATGTGGAGCCTGGCAACCAGCTGTACCCAGATGGTGGCATGCACCGAGTGCCGGATGCTGTGGCAGCAGGTGACAGCCCGTTGCTGTCCCCCCTCAAGGGCCACGCGCCGCACCGGCACAGTGCTCCTGAGCAGCTGCTGGCTTCCCAGCTCCGCTCCCTCCAGGTGGGCACTGGCATCGAGCGAGCCTCACCAGCTCCTGACGGGCACCGCTGGACCTTATCCCCGCTGCACCCCGAGGACAGCCGGCTGGGGACTGCAGGGGCCGCCCAGGACCCCCCACACTGCCCAGAGCCATGTTGCCGTCTGCCACCCTGCCGCTGCTGCCCTGAGCTGCAGCGAGCCTGCGGGCAGGACGGGCGGGGGGCCAGCCCAGCACGCAGCACCGAGGGGCCGGCGGAGGAGGAGAGCCGGGCGGGGGGACGGCGGGCTGGGGGTCCTCCCCACCGCTCCGCTC